AAACTTTAATTCACTTAAAACAACTTGATAATCCAAATGCTGTTATAACTGCAACCAATATTGTAAATTGATATTATTTTCATTTATTAGAAAATTCTTCTCACTGAAGTAAAGAATTTTGGTCTAATTTCATTAAACATTTTGAAGCTTATACAAGAAATAATTTACTTCTATTCACAAGCTCCAACACTGCAAGCACACACAATATGAATCATCATAAGTGTGTTAATAAGTTACTTAGAGGGTTAAAAATATTATCAGAAAGTATTAACCAGTTTCTTCAAGAATATTATGTTGACTTATATACAAAATTAAGCAAATTATCATGGGGTCCATTTGCACCAAGATCATTTAGAATTTTTCCAATGATAGCCATTAACTTTAATACTATTAGTGACTATTATTGGGATGATCATGATGAACCAAATAGCCTATATGTTTTAGTTGCACTAGTCCTCAGCTTCAAGTAGTCGTACATTTTCGGCCAGGACAAGTATAGCATTTGCATTTCATCTACTACTTCATGGTAATTTTGCAATTACAAAAGGTATCTGACATAGTATTGTATACTTTGTGCATAATACATTCTTTTATAATTTACAGAATTTTAATTCTGTATATATTGAGGCTAGAATTGAAAAAGAAAATAGCCCAAAAGTTTCCAAGCAAAACTTTAATAATGCTCAAGGTTTAAACTATCATAACCAATTTTCTACACCAAAAGCAAACCAAATACAAATCCTTTTCAAAGTTTCTGATCATAGACAAGGATAAATAAGTATAAATTATTTTATAATTAATAATATACAGTATATAAAAATATAATTATTATCATTACTAATAGTTAATACTTTTATAGATTTAGCACATGCTTGACAAGGTTTAAGAGCAGAAGATCTACTTTCAAATTTATAAATATTTTATATATTATATATGTTTTATATTTAAATACAATACTACTGTATATTTTATTATATTATATAATACAGTATTTTAATATTATATTCTTTTATATATTATATTTATGCAAAGTGTTAGTAATAATACTGTACAAAACTTATATAAAATTAATAAAAATTATTGTCTAGCTATATTATTATACAAATATTTATTTATTAAATAAACAAGCCTCTTAAACTTTAACTGTATATTTT